TCTCAACACAATAAAAGCTGTATGTGACAGACCCTTACCTAACATCATAATGAATGAGGAAAAGCTGGGAAGCATCTTTTATCCCAATTACATGGGACCTAAGATTTAGAGCAAAGTGGAGGGAATATAGTTTTCTTTTTCTTTCTTTCTTTTTATTTATTTGGTTTGTTTGAAGAGGGTATCTGTGCATGTAGGTGGCCTACCTTAAAGAGTCAGAGCCTAAGTGATATGAGAAGGACACCTATTCAGAAAGATAGCTTGGGAGATCAGCAGTTAGGATAATGGCTATGTCCCTGGACTCCCATGTAGACGACAGCGGTTCAAGTCCTGGACCCGGTGGCTCAAACTCACGCCGGGCGTGTGTGTGTATACCCAAGGTCCCAAGAGGAGAATGGAGAAGAATGGAGGAGAAGGTATTGCGACGTGGCCATCTTCCCTGGGGGGTGATTTCTCGCTTTCTGTCTCTGTCTTTCTGGCGAGCGCACACGCCCTATTAGCGAAAACCTCTCCAAAAAAAAAAAGAAAAAGAGAGAGAGAATACAGGAAGACTGGGCCAGCAAGCAGGTGGCGTGGTGGAGACATAGTGGTAAAGGCACTAGACTCTCACATGGCATAGACCCCCAGAGTTCAAGCCCTGGACCCAGTTGCATGTAAATCACACCATCACATATGCATGTGTGCCCTTAAAGAATGTCAAAACTCTAAACCTTGAGAAAAGACTGAGTATCTTTTCTAGGTAGTGAATTCATATGAGTATTTTTTCCAGAACTTTTTAGTAACTTTTTGTTTCTCTAAATTTTTAATCCTCCCCAAAGTCAATTGAGAAATTGGGAAAGTGGGAGTGAATTAGCAATTGACATAGAAAGTTACTGGTTTGAAGGAATCCATTGATGTCAAGTTCAAAGCAAGAACCAAAAAACACTGACAAATAGAATCCAAGGGTAAGGTCAACATTTCCAGGAAGTGGGCCAGGAGCTTATAAGAGAAAGTCATAACCTGATGAGTTAGCCTTGGTTGTAACTGTTGCATGTTATATGTGTATGTCCACGACCTTGTCTGTGGCTGACAATAAGTCATTCTTACAAATAAATAGTCGTAAGTTTATTTGCATAGTATACTTTATACAGATCCTATGAGTAGTGTTCCAAGAATTAGTAAACTTTAAAAGTGAAATAAGTCCTTAAATTGGCAGTTTTGTCATATAATTCTGTGTAGTATTAACCTTGCTCATAATATTTGGAGATACAAATGTTATGTTATTTGAACACTACAATAATGTTTTATCTTGTTCTTGTCAAAGTGTTTCAATATTTACTATAATGACATTAAAGAGAAAAATAGGCAAGTCATTTATGGGACAAAAAATGGGTTATTATCTATTGAAGATAACTTTATAGTATTGTTAACTGGACTGGTGAGAAATGTACACATGTTGGAATATTCACCTTGCAAGCTAAGTAACATGTGATTGAATATATAAAAGAAATTAAAATAAAAAAATAAAGAAAATAAGTATAGTTTTTTGTAAAGTTGATGAAGGATATTCAATCATTAAAAAGGAAATGAGTTTATACAAGCCAACATGTGCCCTAAAGCCCAAAGTGAAAATACTTTTGGATGCACTCTCAGCAGTTTGACCAATATCAACACAAAATGAAATTTTTTTCCTTAAATGAAGAGAAAAGACACACACACACACACACACACACACACACTCACACACACAGAGTAAAAACACTCATTTCTGGATGATGGGAGGAAGGGCAGAGTCAAGATTTTCTACATGTCATTAGTAAAAGGAAAAAACTACTAGCAATATCCTGTGTTAGGTCTGGTTCCCTAGAAGCGGAAGCTGAGCCAAGGAACTTTGCGTTAATGCATTACTGAGGGAATGCTATCAGGAGAAGGGGAGTAAAGGAAGCAGGATAGAGAAGGAGGTAAAGTCTAGTAAGGGTGGATTGGTGAGCAGTAAAGGAGCATGGCTGAGGCTATAACAAATGGATTCTTAGGATTCCAGGACCTGTATGATCTGCATTGCAAGGTTAGTGTTTAATATCTGAGGAAAGTATTCTATTATCATTGATTTTGTACATTACTAGTACCTTGGGGGAATATTTGTTACCTTCCCTACCTGACCATATACCATGGTAATGATGTAATAATTTAAAAACCTGTTAAAGTTCATATCTGCACATATTTCAAGCTATTTGTACATACTGAGGAACACATTTATTTTATTTATATTAAGAAACAAATTTTCCCTTGAAGTATCTGTTCTCTTGGTTTTATTTTTGCTGCAGGGTACATACACTCACTAGAGAGAAACAGAGACAAAGAGAGGAAAAGTGAGAAATCACCCCCCACCCAGGGCAATGGCCACACTGCAATCCCTTCTCCATTCTCCTTTCAGGATTTTTTGGCTTGCACACATACACACCCAGTGTTTTTCAAGCCGCTGGGTATGGGCCAGGAACCACACAGTCAGCCATGTAGGATCCAGCTGCCTTAACTTCTATGTCACCTGCTGACCCTGTTCTCTTGGTTTTAACTATCATCTTGATGTCGTTAAGTCCTAAATCTTTGCCTCCTATTCTTCATCTCATCTGGCCTAAGGAGCAGTCTGATCCACAATTCTTCATACATACTTAGGTGGTCAATAAATGTCACTCATATTTTAGTCTATCACAGTGAGGTTCACTTGTAAAATTGCACACATGATTTGGAGTTCAATTTTTTTTCTTATTTTAATATTAACTGTGCAAGTTACTTACCCTCTCCAAACTTTAGTTTCCTCATCTACACTAGGAGTGATAATGTCACAACATAGAAATGATGGAAAAATTGAATGAAAGAATTCACTTTAAGCACATACCCTAGTGCCTGGAAATTTGTAAGTACTTAGTGAATGTTGGTTCTTTCTCCTTTATGTTGAATGTTTGAAATGTTTATCTTCTTTGACTCTTTATATTTCACCTTTACCCTTACTTTATCCTTTTTATCACACATAGAGCAAGATTTTTTTTAAGAGTTGGAAACCTCAGAAGGAATTTTATTTGTCTAATCCAATTGTATATTTCTGGCTATGATTTTTGTTCAAGGTAAAAAAACAAATAAACAAACAAAAAAACAAAAACAAAACACTGAGGATGGGGGAAGAGGGTAGGGTTACAGCAAGTAGGGTGGCCATAATACTGTCATTGTTTTAAAAATCACTATGCTAAGGTCTTTTGAGTAAAATGTATAATCTGAAGGTTCATGCTTGGTATATAGAGTATGTTCAACTTTAATATTAAATTCATGAACAGACAACAACATTGAATGACATATAATATGCTTCTTCTCTATGTTGATGGACCAATATGTCTGTGCATAGTGTTAAGAGCTCTGGGCAAGTCAAAGGCATTCCCAAATTGCCAGCACATTTCTCAATACTGATGTCTAGTTTTTATTTCAATTGATTACTTGTGAATTTTCATTTTATTTGTACGTATGTCCTCATTTGCTTTTATGATCTTTTGGATGTTTCTCAAAAAACTGCTGTCAGCTATGTGATAAGGCTAGAGGTACATCATATCTAGAATATTGAATATAGTACCTAGTTTCTATGTTTATTTTGTCAATGTAAGGTCATGAAAAAAGACTTTAAGAATAAGTGGCAAACCAAAAGGTGAAAGCTATCCAAATGTCCATCAGTTGATGAATAGATTAAAAAATACCTATTTATACAATGGAATATTATTCAGTCATTAAAGTGAAGTAGTGATACATCCTGTAATGTGCATAAACCTTGAAAGCATGCTCAGTGAAAGAAGCCAAGACAGAAAAAGGCTACATGTTATATGATTCCATTTATGTAAAATACCCATAGACAGCAATTCTGTAGAGACAGAAAGTATAATAGAAGTTACCAGGAGTTAGGAAATGGGGGATTTTGTTTACAGGGTGAACAATTTCTGGTAGGAATGGTAAAAAAAAAAAATTGGAATTTGTGGTGATGGTTGCACAACACTGTAAATGTACTCAATACTGAATTGTATAGTTTTTTATTCTTACTTTTTTAGAGAGATTTGTGTGTGTGTGTGTGTGTGAGAGAGAGAGAGAGAGAGAGAGAGAGAGAGAGAGAACACTAGTCAGAGAGACAGGGAAACAGAAAGTGAGAAATCACTCCCCCAGGGGAAATGGCCATGCTGCAATCCTTTCTCCTCCATTCTCCTCTTGGGATCTTGGGCGTGCACGCACATGCACCCAGCATGAGTTTAAGCGGCCAGCTCTGGGACTCAAACCATGATAAACTACATGGGAGTCCAGCAATGTAACCAGTATGCCATCTGCTGGTCCCCTGAATTGTATACTTTAAAATAAGAGCCAAAGAGTCACACAGCAGTATTGCAGCTAGATCCACATGAAAAGGTCCCTGATTCATATCCCAGGACCTCCTTCTACATGCTGAGTGAGTGCATGTAAGTCTGTGATCTAGACTGAGACTGGGAGTGGATCATGGTATGAGGACCCTGTTGGGGGTGCCTATATCTCTCTGTTGGTTTTTCTCTTTCATGGAAGAAATAAATAAAATTTTAAAAAATTATTCAAATGGTAAATTTTGTTATATGAATTTACTACAATTTTAAAAAAAAGTGGCAAGATGGGGCTAGCAGGTGGCATGGTGATTAAGACGGCTGGATCCCACCCACATGGCTGACTTCACGGTTCAAGTCCCAGACCTAGCAGCCTGAAAAACACTCTGGACACTCCTGCATGTGTGCCCAAAATCCTGAGAGGAGAATAGAGAAGAAGAGATTTTGGTGTGGCTATCTCCCCACCCCACCACCACCCCAGGGATGATTTCTCACTTTCCCTCTCTCTCTCTCTCTGGCAAGCTCATGTGCCCTATTGCAAAAGTTAAAGGAATGAATAAATGAATGAATGAATGGCATAAGATGGTAAGAGGCGTGACAGTCATTGTTACAAGCATCCATTTTATTTTTTCTTTTTCTGCACAGGATACATGGATAACAGAGGCTTTCAGCAGGGGAGTTTTAGTAGCTTTCGGAGCAGCTCTAGTGATGAAGACTTGATGAACATAACAGGAACAGCTATGGATTTCTCCATGAGAGATGATGTTCCTCCATTAGACCGAGAAGTAGAAGGTATCATTACTGCTGGTGACCATCTTTTTAAAAATTATTTTTAATTTATGTAAAAATTCTTTGTGGCACATAGGCCTATGTAAGTTTTAACATATGCTTAAATTCCTACAACCACTACCACTAACAGGATACAGAACAGTTCAGTTCAACCAACTAAAGAATTCCCTCTTGCTACCCCTTTGTAATCAGAACTCCTACCTCCCTGACTGCTGGTACCACTGATCTTTTCTTCGTCTTTTTTTTTTTTTTTCTTGTTGCCTGACTGCTGGTACCACTGATCTTTTCTTCGTCTTTTTTTTTTTCTTGTTGAGTATTTCATATACATGGAACTACATAATATGTTACCTTTTGAGACCGAATTCTTTCATTCAGCTTACTGCATCATAGACCTCTCTAATTTTTGTATTCCTTTTTCTTGCTTAACAATATCCCCTGGAGTGGGATTACTAGGTCATAAGGTAAATGTATGTTTCACCTTATAAGAAACTGCCCAAATATTTCCCAAAGTGCCTGTACCATTTACATCTGAACTATCTATGTATGAGAGTTTGACTTGCTCCACATCCTCAACAGCTCTTGGTATTTACAGTAATTTTTATTTTAGCCATCCTAATAAGTATATAATATTATCTCATCATGGTTTTAATTCAATTTCCTTAATGACTAATGATGTTGAACATCATTTTATCTGTTTATTAGCTAGCCTCATATCCTTTTTGATGAAGCATGTGTTCAAATTCTTTCCCCCTTTTATAATTGTATTTTTTGTTAACTGAAATACATCTATAAAATGAAAATTACTCTCATTTGTTATTTGTTTACCCAATTGTGTCATTCTTTTCTCTGATTAAATATGATTTCATGGTGCAGTGGTACTATAGTTTAACCAAATTTCTGTTGATGCACATTTCGGTTGTTTCTTGTATTTTGTTATCACAAGCAATGCTACAATGAACAACTTTGCATATGTACATTTTTTTGGTATCTGTTTTAAGTATGGGAGAGCATGTTTTCTCTTTATTTGCCAGAGTGAGCCCATGCACTCACCAGAAAGAGGCAGAGAGATGGGAAGAGGGAAAAAGCACCCTTCAATGGGGCAGCATGATCATGCCTCAATCTCTTCCCCTCCATTTCTCTACCTGTTGGGATTTGGGGCATACGCACACATATACCTGGCATGTTTTCAAAGCTGCCAGTTCCAATGTTCAAACCACACAGCCAGCCATGTGGGATCTGTTTCCCTCAACTACTTGCCACAGGGCCAGCCCCATGGGAGCATTTTTATAGCACATACTCTTTCCTTATACCTCACCAGTGTTGAATAAAATAGTTATTTTTTTCATCCTTAAAGTATGATAGGATGAATAAATAAATACATCCCATTGTTTTAATTTTCATTTTTAAATTAGTAAGGTTAAACATCTTTGTATGTTTTACTACCAATTTTAATGTTTTTCTGGAGATTTATATTCATTCAATGTTTCTATTTTTCTAATGATCTTATTATCTTTATCAGAGCCTTTCATATATTATTAATTCTTTACCTGATAGAGTTTGAATATTTTTTTCTATTTCTGGCTTGCCTTTATTAGTTTAGCTTTTTTATTTGAAGTAAGCAATTTTTAAATTAATTTTCTAAAAAAATTTTAATATACATTCAATCACATTATTTAGCTTACAATGTGAACTTTTCAATATGTGAACATTTCTCCCCAGTCCAGTTGATCAAAATATTTTCAACCAATAACACCACATCTCCCCAAAGTTTAGCTTTTTAATCTGCAAACATTTTAAATTTTTATACAGCCAGGAATATCACCTTTTTCCTTTATGACTTCTGATTTCTTACAGTACTTAGACTGTATCACTTATGATTAAATTTATGTAATTTAAAACTGCTGTCTGGTTCTTGGACTGGAATTGTGATTCTCAAAGTAAATAGGGAACTACTGCCAGAATTCATTATTTAGCAAATTCATAATAAGTGCATGTGACATTTTAGACACTTTATTAGGTTCTAGGAACTAACAAGGCTTTAAGACACTATTTCTTCCTTTACGAAATTGGTCCTGCCAAGCTAAATAGCCATATAAGTTTTTTGTTTTGGGGGTTGTTTTTTGTTTTTTTGTTTTTTGTTTTTTGTTTTTTTTTTTTCTAGGAAAGGTCCATCATTTTATTTGAATATTCTGAAAATAAGTTGTTAATATATCATATTGCTTTTCATAAAAATATTTCCTCCAGTGCTCATGGTTTACAGTTTTTAAAGGCCCAATGATAATCCCACCTGGTTTAGAATGTTTGGTTTAATATTTTGCCTCATTGATTTCAATTATTGAACATTCTCATTTGCACTTTGAGCTTTTTTTCATTAAATTAAATTCCTAATTATCTGATCCCTCTAAGAATATTAGTAAATACATATGCCTATTTAGCCACAAATCTATATGGCCATTTCTGTTATTCTTTTACTGGATGAAGAGCACATAGTTCTATAATGCTGATTAATTTTAACTGAATGTGGGAGCCACATAAGTGTTAATACTTATGATGGTACCTACTTCTTAGATTTTTTCCAGGACTAAATGAAATGGTACATATGAAGTGTTTATAACTGTACCCAGCATGGAGTTAAGTGCTCAATAAAATGATATGTATCAGTATTTTTGTTATATTATTAATGTTATAATAGTATAAATTTTATAACTTTTTTAGGAACTTGGCAAAGGAAGCATTTTGTGTGTGTGTATCTGTGAAGGAGTGAAGAAGATTTGGCAGAAAGGTTTATTAGAACAGGATTTGAAAGATTATTTAAAAGAAAGACAAGGATTCCAGGCAGAAAACAAGCTTTTACAGAGTTATCAATAAGCATACTACACAGTGGTATAAAAAGGCAGAATATAAACCCAAATAGTTAAATCATGGTCTTGAATGTCATTGCAAGAGATTTGAATTAACCTTATTGTTACTATGAAAACTAAGCCCTTTCATCCATTCATTCAAGAAGTAGTTTTTTTTTTTTTTTTTTTTTGAGAGATTTTCACTGTAGGGCGCGTGCGCTCGCCAGACAGACAGAGAGAGACATAGAGACAGAAAGCGAGAAATCACCCCCCAGGGGGGATGGTCACGCCGCAATCCCTTCTCCTCCATTCTCCTCTCGGGATCTTGGGCACGCACGCACACGCGCCCATCAAGAAGTAGTTTTTGAGTACCTGTTATGAACCAGGAATTATTGGAGGCACTTGAGGTACAGTGGTGGAATGAAGACAGATTTTGGCCTGGAACTTAGATCTAGTTGGGGAAGACAGTAAATAATTAAATAGATAACCCTTTGTGATATGATTTGAGTGGAAATAAATGGAATGACAATAAATGAGAAATGGGGAATAATTAGTTAGGCAGGTCAGAGAAGGCTTCTCTGAGGAGATTACTGTGTTGGGATGAACATAGTAATATGAAAACCATAGGCTAAAGAGGATGACAAGAAATTTACCTCAGGAGAATAACCTCAGGAGAGTGACAGTTGAAGAGAGGCTCTGAATTTAAAGTTCATGAAAGAAAGATACTGGTGGCTTGGTATTTTGTGGTTTGCACATTTGATCACTTCCAGAAAGGGAAATGTTTGCATATCACTTCCACTTATGTGTAGTTTTAACTGTAGTGAGTCAGTTATACTGGTAACTGGTTCTAGTGAAGTGGTCATTTAGGCTATCTATAAACTGAAACTGGCTACCTCTAATTAAGGCTTCTAGCTAAGCCAGAATGATTATATTACTATATTTTATTATTATTATTATTATTATTTTATTATCATATTAATAAAATGTATTTTTACCTGAGAATGAGAAGTCATTCACCACTTTTCACTAGTCTTTGCAGGAATATTTACACTTGTGGTTTTACAAAGTCAGACCTTAAAATAGCAAGACTGCTTTCCATGAGCCACACATGAAAATCAGTTTACTTATCACACTGTGTAGTGATACAATGTTTTTGCTTTGCTTTTTCATTTTTCTTACTTTATTTAATGTTTTCACTGGGGATTTCTTATTTATTTATTTATTTTTCTATAGGACATGTGTTTGCCAGAGAGAGAGGGAATGTCATAAATCACTGCCTAGGGATGATAGCCATGCTGCAATCCCTTCTCCTCCATTCTCCTCTCCAGATTTTGGGCACACACACCTGTCATGATTTTCAAACTACCTGGTCTGGGACCCAGTCATATAGTCAGCCATGTGGTATTCAGCCAACTTAACCACCATGCCACTGGTTGGCCCCACACAGGGGATTTATTAATCAAGATTTCAACAGGAAAAAAGGTCTCTCAAGTCCTTGATATTTGGTGGTAAAACATTATAAAATGCTAAATTTTGTACCAGACACAATAGCACATAGTAAAAATATTAGAAGAACTTGAAAGGCAGTAAAGGTGGTTCTTGTTTTTCAGGTGGCTAAATGGACTGATTTATGAGGAATGAATAAATAAATAATGTATGGCATGTTAAATGGATCTGAGGTAGTGTTGTAGTAGTCTATAAATTCGAAAACACATAAACATGGAGATCTGAAAGAAGTGGAGGGAGGCAACATAGAATAAGGGTTTTAATAACAGGAAAACTTTCAGAGCCATTCTCATAGTCTATCTGTTCAAATTTGCTTGCCTCTGCAGACTAAACCTCATGGTAAACCAATCATTCATTCATTCTTTCATTCATTCAGTCACTCAGTATTTATGGAGTACCCAGATACAAACTCAGCACTACTCTGATTTATTGGGTTGTCGGAAAAGTCATGATGTATTTTTGTATGTTTTTCTATGCAAACAGGCATCATGACATTTCTGACAACCAATAGTAGTGCTTTTCTATTCCTTTTTAAAAGAATTATTTAATTAATTTATTTACTTATTTATTTTAATTTGACCAGAGAGGGACAGAGTAACTGAGTGAGTGAGAGAGAGAGAAAGTGAGAAAGCAAGCCGCCAGGTTCGGGACTCAAAC